GGAAGTAAGTCTCAATGGTTGGAGGCTGAAGAATTCAGGCAGGCAGCAAATAAAAACGATATGAAAGCCTTTTAAAATGACTTGAGAGAAGTATATCGGCCACAGAAGAGGGGTACAACACAGCTTACTGTACTTGATGGTGAGACAGAAATACAGGAGAAAGCTGAGACTCTCGATAGATTTGCAAACCAATTTGACCAGCTACTTAATGACAGGAGAAGTTGACAACTCTGCCTTGGACACCATTGCGCAGAGGCCAAACACTACACTTGTTGATGAAAATCCTGAATTGAAGTAGCTGTTGGATGGCATCAATGCAAGAAAGGAAGGTAAAGCCCTTGGAAGGTGTGATATACCTGCCGAAATCTGGAAACATTGTGGCTGTGCAGATTTGGGAAACTGAAGAAATACCAAAAGACTGGAAAGATGCCATTATCGTGCCAGTCTTCAAGAAGGGAAGAAGAAAGGACTGTGGTAACTATCGAGGTATTTCTCTTCTCTCAATAGCCGAAAAGATCTTGGCTCGCATACTCCTCAACAGATTGAACGAACACATTATTCCCCATATCGTGCCTGAGACTCGATGTGGTATTCGCAGTGCATGGTAGAGGCACTGTGAATATGATCGATCCTCTGTTTGCGACAGTTATAAGAGAAGTATGAAGAGCATAATATGCCGCTGTATGCCGTTTTTATCGACTTCTCTAAGGCTTTTGATACCGAGTGTTCGGAAAGTATTGATGTACTGCTGAATTTATCAATCTGGCGAGGGCACTGCACAACGTAATGTTAACCATGTTAACATGTGGATCAGTGAAGCTACATCTCCAAGTATTTGCTGTCACCGATTTAGTCAAGCAAGGTTGCGTGCTCTCTCCGACATTTTTCTCTCTCTACCTAACAGCAATGCTAAAGTTGCCTCTGACGGTGTTGGGGACGGTTTCTTCATCCAAACTCGTACTAATGCTGACCTGTTTAACGTACCCCTTTTCAGAGCAAAAACACGCACAGCCTAGATCCTATGGAGGGAAATAACTTTTTACAGATGTTAGTGCTGTAGTTGCCCACAGTGCTGGTGACATTCAGTGTCTGGTGGACAGCTTCACCAGAGCTGCCTCCCAATTTGGCCTAAGTTCAACATCAAGAAAACTGAGTGCTTAAACCAACCGCTGCAAAACCTAGATCCAGTTCCTGAGCCAACAACTATAACTATCAATCAAGAGGCCCTGATGCAGTGATACGACTTCAGATACCTGGGAAGCACTATTTCCAACAATGCTAGCCAAGACAGTGTACTCAGATACAGGATGGCAATTGCAAGTGCTGCTTTTGGAAAACCACAGGACAGGTTTTGGAAAAACCGGCATGTGTCTATTGAAGTCAAGTGCAATGTCTATCAAGGTATTGTCCTTTATTCCCTCCTCAGTGGTACTGAAACATGCATGGACTATGCATCAGCGTAAGTGAAGAAGCCTTTGCCTAGTCCCAAGGCCTCATTATCCTGCTCGGCCAAAGCGTTTCGAGTCGCGTGGTCCAAGCGAAAATGTGTTTCGCGCCCGTCCGCCCCGGATACGTCACCTGAGCGAATTGACCGAGAGGGGCTGGGAAAACGCCGTACAGGGACTAGCTCCATGCCTGTATGGTAGAACATCTAAAAGTAATAATGAACGTATCCTGGAAGGACAAGATCACGAATGTGGAGAGTCTCTGCCTTGCAGGACTACTATCAATGGCTGATATTCTCATTGAGAAAAATCTAAGACGGCTGGGTCACGTGCATAGGATGGATAATAACAGACTACCAAATTAGCTGTTAGCTGCTACAAAATATGCAGCTGTCAACTCTGTTTGGTAATGCGTGATCAAGGGAGGCCTAGATTAAGGTCCACAGATGTTTCAATTGAAGGAAAACATGAATTCAAATGGAGAGACATCAATCTCAACCGATGGCAGGAGAGTGCCAACGACATACCTATCTGGAGGAGACTTATCAAACTTTGCTGAAACCTAGAACAGTCTTAGTCGAACCGACTGACTGCCATGTTGATGATATTATTGGCCGTTCCAACCATCTCTAACCAGTTCAGGATCCACGAATAGGGCACCATATCACTAGAAGGATTACTAACCAAAGATCAGAGACCCTTATACCCTCATCAAGGTGGTCGTTACCGCGCCAGAAACCACGCTGGTGTCTTCTGGTAGAGAGTGACCTATGTCACTTTCTAGCATGACCTCAGATTTAAAAGCTCCCAACACTGTTAGTTCTGTAATCGCTACAAGCAAATCTGCAATTCCGAGGTTGATCAAAAGAAAATAAGTTCGTTTTAAGCGGGATCTTTAATTCCAGAATACGAAAATTGTAAACTTGTTTGCATGTTTGCGCGTAGATGACCACGAAGGAAATGGACGTCGATCAAGCGATGTCTTTCCTCGTTCAGCAGCCAGTTGCTTCGCCCTTTATTCGGAACAACTGGCGCACAGTGGAAAAGGCCAGTACATTGTACTTACCAATCACAAGAAGATATCGTTCTTATATCATTTCTCTGTATAAAATACTCTGTTTTCTTGTAGACCAAATAATATTTCTACATCAAGGTAGTAAGGACGGCCCACTAATCTTTGTAAAACTCAGTTCAAGGTTCAGAATTAGTATTGTTGCATGAGACTAATCAAGTCGAAGATACTTAGCTGAGTTATTAACGAAATGATTGAATTAACATGCATATGTAGCAGTAATACTGAAGGTAGAGTGGCGCTCGTCCGTTAATTACTCTCTTAAGCATTTTTTACGACATTTCCTTAGCAGCAGTATAAACAGAGACGTTTATTTATTTGCATCTAATGTGATAGCAGAATTCTTCGGGGTGATTACTGGGCATTACGTCATTTTTAATTTGCGAACACAAAATCGGTTGGCAATAAAAAAGCAATATTCAAGAAAATTCAAAATGAAATTGGCATGTCATAAAAAAAATGTATCTTAAGTTGCCTTTTGTGCATATAATCGATTTTTTCTGCTGTTTTTTCAGAGGTAATTATACATATTTCGTTCTATATAAAATTGTCATTTTTAGTGTCCATATTTTTATTAAAATTTAAGGAAGAGTAAGAGAGAAATGTAAGACATTTTTGTGATTGTCGGGAGGGAAAACTCTGAGGACTCATCTCATCAAAGTTGTTTCAAGAAATCCAAAATGTGGATGTCACTGCGCACTTACAACAGTGCTATAAATTGTTTGTATTTATCTGCCTCCCTTTAAATTACTTATTTACAAAGCCCATGCCAAATGCTGAGATATCAACTTTTTATTAAAGCTTAAGGCATTATTAGTATTGCGATACGTTTTGCTAACGCAGTTGATTAAATAACTAGCCCAAAAAGTTCTATATTCATTTTATAACACGACAAAAAATTAGTTAAAGTGAAACATATTGACCATTTGATTTGTTTGCCTCAAGTTTAACAAAGATTCAATTCCAGTCTAGATTTAGCAGCATTTTTTTTCTCATTTGCCTCCCTCATTTCCTGTTTATCAATTTTGGCCATTTAATTTGTGGCGTATAGTGCTTTTTTGACTTAAACCAAATCAGACTGCAATACGGCATGATTGGTAAAGCTCTCCCACTCCAGTAACTCACTTTGTCTACTGGAAAAAAAGATCTGCCAAGCGGAAATAATTTATTTGTAGAAAATAATTAATTAAAAATAAAAGTTCCGTTCATTCGAATTAGTGGGAGCTCAATAAGCTTCAGTTGAAGTACTGTTATTCATTTTTCGTCAGAATGAATATCCCTTCATAATCTTAGACTGCAGAGGAGTAAGGCAATGAAGATGGAAACTGTATATAGTTAGTATACGTACATAGATGTAGGTAAGCATGTTTTGTTGAAGTCGGAAATATAGTAGATGGAGGCCGATGACCCCCTTCTCTGCCTAATTCTTCATATTATACGAGAGCCAAACCAATAATTGCTAATTGATGGGTCGTTTGAGTTGTCCACGAAGAAGCAGTATTGAAGATAAAACGCCGATTTATATCTGCCCCTGAGGCCTAAGCCGGTTTCGCAACGTCTTTTTCACATCTGGTGTCAATATTCGCATCTAAAGCAAAGACTGTATATTTCGGCTGTCCTTTCTTTGGACATAGAGGGTTATCTATTATTGGTATATAAAAGAGAGACGCGTGATTCAAGAACGAATAGTAGATATGAAATTAAAGTACGACTGAAGAACTTTAAAACGAAATATGAACTTGATTTCTGTGCAGTAAGATTTTTTTGGCTCATTAAAAATCTACCCATGGAAAGATTTATATTTTATTCCATTCATCCCCTTTCAAGCGGAAATTTCTATTTTTCTGTATTGATCAAAAAGATAGTGTCATTTTCTATGTTTTTCATCATTAAAGGATGTCGAAATATGAAACACAGTGTAGCTTTTTCCCGTTCATAGTAATTTCGTTTTGAAATTAACTGTGAAATATTTTTTTTAAGTTTTACGGGGATCTCTGTTTTTTTATAAACGCATTTTGGGTTTATTCATCCGTCGTTTATTACTGTTTAAAGTGCTTAGCTAATGAGTACCATCAGGCCGGGAGTTTGTTATTGCAAATGAAGATTTATTGCATCCTTTTCTGAGAAAAAATGGATTAAATATTATTTGAAATATTACTAGTATTAAAGTAGTGAAACCAAAAAGTTAATATTCGTGACCCTCCACAGGATTTTAATGCTAAAGGTGAAAGCACGCGCACGACACGCTTTCACTTTAAAACAAAAGAATTTGTTTTAACACGCTTTAGCACGCTTGCAATCTTGCCTCATTAGTAATTTCTTTTGTTTCAAAGGACAGGCTTGAGACAATTAAGCGTGAGTAAGTCGAACAAAAGAGCGTGTTAAAGTTTTCAAACAAAAGCTCCGTGCGAAAAAGCACAACACGCTTTCAGTGTGCGCAAAAGCACGCAAGGCGGGTTATCTATAAGCTAAATAAATTTCCTCTACAAAAAGGAACCGTAAATGATTATGAACGGCACCCTTTTTTGGTAACTATCCAGAAAGAAAAAGTTTGTCGCTTGAAAAGTATAAACAGTGAACGGTGTGACCTACTGGATTTATGGGTAGAACTTTATTAGCACTGCAAAATCAAAGTTCTTTCCAGAATTGTTTACTGACGAAGCTGTGCAAAGGTTATCTTAACTTTCCTTAATTCAAAACACATTTGCGATTTTCTCAGAAACAGTGATCTTTCGGACTTATAAAAGTCACTTTCTCGCCGATCGCAGCAATCCCAGCGATCAAATAGAAATCATCGAGAGTCAGGATCGCTAAATTGTATTTGTTTTTTAGCGATTGCAAGGATCGTAGTGATCAAATGAAAACCAGCCTGCTTTTCTAGATGTACCAAAATTCCAAAACGGTTTCAATGTTGCTTAATTGATCCGGCCGGCAATAACACAAAAAGGGAAACCGGTATTAAAAAAATGTATGTAAATTTGTTCTTCTTGAAATATTACATCGTGTATGCTTCAGTCTTATTGTTCAAATTCCGTAATCATCCTGTTGTCTTTCTTGTGGTTGCCGTCTGTTTTACAACCATCTAAACAAACATTCGCGCGATGAAGTTGCGGCGACCGATTTAGCGTCATCAGAGCCTCTGCTACACGGCCGTTTTAGTTTCGTCACGCAACGCTCCTTCCACTGAAAACGGCTGTGTAGCAGACTATTATTTAAGCGGCGCAAAAATATTTTTTTATTATTCGCGCTAGTTTAGTGCGTCTTTTAAATGCCTATTTTACGTTGATGCACGAGTGGATTTGTTACCCTCCTGAAACTTGGTAGTGCCTTGAGGACTAAATTAAAACAAAGCGGAATTTAAGATAAGACATGAAAAAAACAGTCGCTTTTATATTTACAACCAAATTTTTACACAGAAACTAATTTCTAAAGAAATAGTCTACAAAATCAAATCAAACTTATGGCGCAAGTTTGATGACAGAAATCGCATCTTTTCTTCATTAAGCTTTTCGAAGCCAAAAGTTCCTGCCGTGTTGCCGTTGGCCAATTCTCTCTCTGAAAATAATAGGTCCACGCAAGCCAAGACAACTTCAGTCTTTTCGAAATTACAAGGGCTTCAGCATTATTTTCCCGAAAAATTTACCTTCCAATTGAAAGTTTTAGGAAAGTGAGAATTTTATAGTATTTTCGGTTCCGAAAATTTTAGGATTTCTTTCTCTACGAAAAATAGCTTAACCTGGGGAGTGAAATGGAAAAAATTAAACTTCAGAAAATCGTAAGAATTTATTAGATAAGCTTTGAACTGATTGTACATGCATGGAACGGTCGTCTAGAAATGTTTAGACTTCCTCAACCTATAGAAAATTCTAGGCAGTTTTTGTTTCTCCGATTCAATTACCTTCGTTCGTCTCAGCAAGGCGTGCTTCGCATGCGATAGCAGGTCTCTTTGCGATTCTGGTCAACAGCCGACAGCCGGAAGAATTGGTTTACACTGATCTCGCGTTAATTCCAGGCTGCAGACGACCATTAAGTGGTGATTTTCAAATGGCTACGGTTACTATCAAATTCCAAAACAGTTTCAACTGGTATATTTGATTCACTTCAACCAGTTATCAATGCTGATTAAATCCGCTGAAAACCCAAGCCATTTTTATCATCTTAGTAGCTTTAGTAATTAAGCACGTTCAGCGTGTCTTACCCAAATTGCACGCTAAGCGTGCTATAATTCGCACACTTACCGTGACATATGGCACGCTACAAAAAAACAAAAGGTCTAACGTGTTAAATTTACCAAAACAAAGGCAAGTGTGTCCGTCTTTGTTTTTTCAATTTAATATGCGCATATCCGTGATCTACGGCACGCTAAGAGTGTCGTGCAAGCGTGTCGTGAGCGTGCTTTCACCTTTAGCATCAAATTCCTGTGGAGGGTCACATTCATTCTAATGCCACAAACATCGCAAAGATCGTTTTTGAAGTAATTTGATTACTAACAGCGTGAAGATTCTGATGTTGGGACGTAGAATTAGAGAAAAAAAATATTCTTCAAAACCAACAATTTCTT